ATATTAAAGTTGTATATTAAAGTTGTATATTAAAGTTGTATATTAAAGTTGCATATTAAAATTGCATATTAAAGTTGCATATTAAAGTTGCATATTAAAGTTGCATATTAAAGTTGCATATTAAATTGCATATTAAAGTTGCATATTAAAGTTGCATATTAAAGTTGCATATTAAAGTTGCATATTAAAGTTTATATTAAAGTTGCATATTAAAGTTGCAAATTTAAGTTGCATATTAAAGTTTCATAATTAAAGTTGCAGAATGCCTATATTGCATACTTGAAGCTGCAATGGAAAGTATTGAACTTGAAACTGATAAATTGATTTATAAATGTTATGCTTACATATTAATTTAATTTAAGTAGGATTAATCCACTTTATTCTGGGGACCACCGTAACATTTTGTAATGTAGGATCTGAGCAGTCTGGAGATCCGAACTGTCATGGATAATATTGAGCTGGATGCACTAGGACGTGGAGAAATGAAACTGATCTTGTATCCGTCCTCTGTCCCGGAGCGTTCTCTCTCGGGGTTCCTGGTTCCCCGGATATCCTGTGATCTCCTGGACTGTGTTCTCACTCCCCGGAGTCAGGATGAGGGAATGCGAGGAATGGGTTTCATGTATTTTAACAGACACGGAGCTCTCATTTATAAAATCAGGTAAAAAACTATTTCTTATAAAGATTGGCAAACAATATTATTATTATTATATAATGTAATTGCCGAAATCTGGNATTATTATTATTATTATTATTATTATTATTATTATAATTATTATTATTATTATTATTATTATTATTATTATTATTATTATTATTATTATCAGGGTTGAGCCTGGAACTACTTCAGTTTCTCAGATTAGTTTAGAGAGTGGAGGAAGATCAAAGAGAATTCTAAACATTGAACCTAACCTTGGTTCAACAGATGGAACCGTTGCATCAGGTATTTAATGATTTAGAAAACAGATTTTCAAATAAGAGGGCGAAAAAGCTTCCCATGGTCCTGTTCGTCCTTGGTTCCTCTCTTATCTGTTTCACCGAGTCTGAATCTGAATGTTTAAGTTTCTTGGCAACAATCTAGGTTGGATTTGAGAATTTATTCTCCTGCAGACCAAACTTTTAGTAAAATTGTTTAAAATCTAGTATTTTTGTTTTCAAGTTTAAACTATCCAATATACCATCTCGGAGAGAACTAAAACATTTTCATTTATTTAATATGAGAGGTGTAAACTTTTTATATCTTTAATCTGTTCACAACGAACTCAGTCGGTAACGTTTTATTCCGGTTTAATAGCGTTTAAGAGCCTTTTCTTACTTTTAATCATTTTTTATCATCTCTTCGTACATTTCAACTAAATCTCAAAAGTTACTTTTTAATCCTTTGATTTAAAAGTTTACACCTTTGAAATAGAGTTTAGCCGGTGTGGCTAAGGGATATTACATTTAAAAGTTTTTACCTTTATATTGATAATGATTAAGTCAACAATTTCGAAAGAAACTACGTCTCAAATGTTTCTCTTAATTACGCACAGATCATCTTAACAAAACTGAGCAGACCTTGAGATAATTTTTATTGCTTCAATTAAAATATTATTAATCTATTTCCTGCTTCAGGTGAGATGAGATTAACCGGAAACCAGGTGGAGGAACTTATGAAGGAAGAATACTATCTAAGTGTTGGTTCAAGTTCAACTTTACTCCGGGGAAGAGTTATGCTAGAGCAGGCCGGTCCATCTAATCTAGCAGGTAGAGCTTCCGCATTATAATTTTCTCATTACACACACCTCCGAGTTATTATTTCAGGAGCTTTTTAAACTTAATTTTTATCCTTATCTATACATATTAAGTATTTGTTTGGATGTCCAATTATAGGTCATTAACCTCTTGACCGATTTGCCTCATATTATGAGGCATATTATTTAAAGCTCTAAGTTGAGAAGGTTGACTTTAATGGAAAAAAATAATATCCGGGCAAAGTTGATTTCCCAAGCTAGTTTTATAATATACTAGCGGAAGAGCCCGGCGTTGCCCGTGGAAAAAAATTTGAAACACTCCCCGGCCACCCATGAGAGTCCACAAAAAATTTCAGCCCAATCGGTCCAGCCGTTTGGCCGGCTATATATATTTATATTTATATTTTTATATATATATATATGATATCGTCGTTCAAATCTTAATCAGACTCAGAAATCTGATTATTATCAATATTTACAGTGTGATAATGACTTTTAAAAAATAGATAAAAATTCTTCAATTCTTTGAAGTTTATAAATTATAAATCATAAATTCTTTATCATAGTTTTTAACGATAAATTTTCCATTTTTATGGTTTTTATGGACCTGGCAGGTCCCTCCAGGTAGTTTATAGACCTGGCAGGCCCCTCCAGGTATTTTATGGACCTGGCAGGTCCCTCAAGGTAGTTTATGAACCTGGCAGATCCCTCCAGGTAGTTTATGGACCTGGCAGGTCCCTCCAAGTAGTTTATGGACCTGGCAGGTCCCTCCAGGTAGTATAAACTACCTGGCGGGTCCCTCCAGGTAGTTTATGGACCTGGCAGGTCCCTCCAGGTAGTTTATGGACCTGGCAGGTCCCTCCAGGTAGTTTATAGACCTGGCAGATCCCTCCAGGTAGTTTGCGGACCTGGTAGGTCCCTCCAGGTAGTTTTATGACCTGGCAGGTCCCTCCAGGTAGTTTATGGACCTGGCAGGTCCCTCCAGGTAGTTTATTGCCGGGCGGAATTAAAAATAAAACAATAAGAAAAACAAAAAAATTGCGAAATTTATTGATTTTTTAAAATCCAGTTTAATCAATAATCAAGCCGAGATTCTTAAAGTAAAATTTTTATATTTATTAAAAATAATTATTTTTTTGATTTTTAAGGAGAACCTGTTCTGCTGACAGGGAACAGTTCAGTAGCTGGGCTCTCCTGGGTTAGTCTGGATACAGACTGCAGACTTCATTATTCTCTCCGGATGGAAGGAGCAAACCTGGAAGCTACAGAATCCGTTCTAGGTTAGATATCAGGGTTCTAGCTTAGATATCATGGTTCTAGGTTATAAATTAGGGTTCTAGGCTAGATATTAGGGTTCTAGGTTAGATATTAGTGTTCTAAGTTAAATATCAGGGTTCTTGGTTAGATATCAGGATTCTAGATTAGATATCACGGTTCTAAGTTAAATATCAGGGTTCTAGTTTAGATATCAGGGTTCTAGGTTGAATATTAGGGTTCTAGGTTTGATATTAGTGTTTTAAGTTAAATATCAGGGTTCTAGGCTAGATATCAGGGTTCTAGCTTAGATATTAGTTTTCTAAGTTAAATAAAAGGGTTCTAGGTTATATACCAGGGGTCTAGGTTAGATATTAGTGTTCTAAATTAAATATGAGTGTTCTATATGAGGGTTCTAGGTTAGATATCAGAGTTCTAGGTTAGTTATCAGGGTTCTAGGTTTGATATCAGGGTTCTAGGCTAGATATCAGGGTTCTAGGTTAGATATCAGGGTTATAGGGTTCTATGTTAGAAATTTGGGCCATGTTTTTATATAAACCTAGAAAAGTATCTAAACCTATTCTAATATCCTTGTATATCTAGACCTAGAGGACTACCCACTGGAAAACTTGAAAGCTCTACCCCTGTTCCCAAGTCATAAACGCCAGCTCCAGGTGTGCCAAGGGAAACGATGCTCCGGACACGCGGATAGTTTACATAAACTTACAGTTTCTCGTCTTGACTCCGGAGACGCAGCTCTCATCCTGTCCTTGCCAGACGGTCAGCTTAAGGGAGGGTTGGAGACTGTGGATACTCCTATATCCTGTCTTCCTATACATAACAGGTATTTTTATCCTTATCAAATTGTTTTTATTCCATTTAACAATATTACTATGATTAAAGTTTTTCAAGTTTTTATATTTAGAAATTCTCTGGAACGTATTCCTGGATACTTGAATGATCTGGGTGAGAAGGTTCCTAACACTATTTTACAAAAATGTTATTACGAAGGAGTTTTCTATGATGATGGAACACAATGGGAGTCCTCACATACACAGTGCCAAATGTGCAGGTAGGATATATAGATAGTTCTAGGTTATTCCTGGAGAAATATTTAGGTATAGTTCTATGTTATACCTTGAGAAATATGTAGGTCTAGGTCTAGGATATATCTGGAGAAATGTGTAGGTTTAGGTCTCGGTTGTACCCGGAGAAATGTGTAGGTATAGTTCTAGGATGTATCCGGAGAAATGTGTAGATATAGTTCTAGGATGTATCCGGAGAAATGTGTAGATATAGTTCTAGGATGTATCCGGAGAAATGTGTAGGTATAATTCAAGGTTGTGTCTTAATAAATGTGTAGGTATAGTTCTAGGATGTTTCTGGAGAAAGACAATTTTTATCTCGAAAAACTGAGATTAAGAGATCTAATAAATTAGGGTTAAGTCAACACAAAAACCAAAAACATCTATAATCAGTAAAATTTTAGTTTGTAATCCTGTTAAACTAATTTATCTAAATTATTCATCTAGAAATATCCAGTTCAAATCAAAAACTGAATAAAATGACTTAATGTGCAAAGAGTGGAACAATGTTTAATGTTTATTATTCGTTGTTCTGAATTTTATGATGAATAAATCTGATGAAAAGTTTAGATTATACAAACTTTACTCTTGTAAAACACTAGTCAGAGTTTTTACGACCAGAGAGTGTTAAACATAATAAATGTCGTCATTGATGACATCAGTTTTAGAATCATCCTTAGCTCAACAGAGCTGGGAACTTTTGAATGGTGGATATCGGGATTATTGCTTGATCTACTCTTTTTCTTTTTCTCGAGATTAAATAATGCTTGTTCTCCCCTTATTTTTAATCTCCAGATTAATTAACCGATCAGGATTAAGGATATTCCATTCTAAAGTTTTCAGCTCTGTTCAGTTAGAACTGAGCCAGGAACTTTCAATCTAGGTTTTAGTAAAATTGTTGGTTAAAGATCGATTTCGAGTTTAATTGAGTTCAGAGCTCCCAGCGGGGGAGCATGACTATTTAACATGACAAGTTAAAATCATTTCGTCAATTCAGAAGTTTCAGGCCATGCTGATTTAACGGTCCTTCTCCGTGCAAGCTGGACTTTAGGTCATAATTAGATCTACTAAACATACACTTTTTGCTTTTTCTCATTAATTCTTTTTGTTGGCGGATTCGTGTTTTTTGAAACAACTCTGAAAGTTTAAAGATTGTTGAATTCATGTAGAAGAAACCGAACTCATCTCGTCCTGATTAGTCCGGGGTGAGGCTTTTTTCAAAAAATATTCTTAACACTTTCTTTAATTTTAGCTGTCAGCGAGGATCAGTAGTGTGTGATCCTATGGTGTGCCCTAGCACTGATTGTGCTGATCCTATAATACCAGAGGGAGAATGTTGTTCTACTTGTGCACTTCAAACCAACTCTACAGAGGGTTGTATTGATCTAGGAGGGAACAGTAGGATTCATCCTCCTGGGAGCAGATGGCATCCGTATATTCCTCCGTTTGGGTTCAGCCGCTGCGCTATCTGCTCATGCCAGGTTCAAGATATAATACTAATAATGTACAATAAGAACCAGAAAAATGTGGAAAGGAAGACGACATTTAACTAATATTTAAAAGTGTATTTGATGTGGTTGCATAGCAAATAGTTTTAGCATTAGCTTGAAAATTAACAAATTAAGTTGAATGGGTCTGTTTGCACTGGACAATTGTTGTGTCTCATGTTCATTGAAGTCTTAAATTGAGTCTTAAAGTTGTCTTTCTATTCCAGTGTTTTCTGGTTATCCCTGTAGTAGCATTGCTCCTTTATTTGAACTGCACCATTCGGCCAATTTTGTACTTTTCGTATATATTAATTATATATATATATTATACATTATATATATTAATTATGCTAAAAATATCTGGAGAGGGTTTAAATTAAAGGATCCCAAGCCATGAAATCATTTTGATGTATTCGCATTTTTACCCTTAAACAAAAACAAGCAGATTATAAAAAGATTATCAGATAAATATTTTAGTTTATCAATTTTCCTCCGAAAACATGATGAACATGATGAACATAATGAACATGGTCAACATGATCGACATGATGAACGAACATAATGAACATGATGAATATGATGAGCATGATGAACATGATGAACATGATGAACATGATGAACATGATCAACAAGATCAACATGATCAACATGATCAACATGATCAACATGATCAACATGATGAACATAATCAACATGATCAACATGATCAACATGATCAACATGATCAACATGATCAACATGATCAACATGATAAACTTGATCAACATAATCAACATGATCATGTTCACCGATTCACAACGGTATCCTTTAAACCCGTTGAAGACATGTCTCTTTGTTTTTTTCCGGAAAATTTATTTCTTCAGTTTTACAAACAAAATTTTGTAGTTTTTTATCAACAGAAGAGTAAGTAAGATGCTTGTTATTACCCTTTTTTAAAGATACGTATCGGTACTTTTCCTTAAATATAGTTAATATCCCGTGAACATTCCCTTTCTGTACAGTGTACAATGTTAATACATACCTTTATGTTCAGGAGGATACGCTAACTGTACAGTGTACAATGTTAATACTTACCTTTATGTTCAGGAGGATACGCTAACTGTACAGTGTACAATGTTAATACTTACCTTTATGTTCAGGAGGATACGCNACCCCTAAAAAAACACATCTTATTTTCATACTTTGATAAAAGTCGTCTTTTATCCAACTATTTTAATGTGTTATCGACTTGCAAGGAAAAGCTGTATGAATTTTTCAAGACTGAATCGACATTAAAGTGTTTCTAACTATTTTCTGCCTTTTTGTAACCCTAACCATGTTTATTTTAAGTTCATAAAACACTTAAGTTTTTAGTTCTAGTTTTTATGAAATAAATGGCAAAATTCTCATAGATTTTTGTTGCAAGCCATCAACATTTGGATTGGTTTGTTAGTTACATATCTAATTCAATTTTGTATTAGGATGGAGAGGCAGGATGCAAGAAGAAAAAATGTCCGACCCTCAGCTGCCCTCTGCAGTTTAGAGAGGATGGTCAATGCTGCGCAAGGTGCGCTGCGAACAGAACAGAAGAGATGAAAGCGCGGCAGCAGATTGCGCTCGCAAACAGGAAAAAACGTCTTCGAAAATTTCACGCCCGGAGAAACAGAGATAATTCAAGAATATAAAGGAAAAATCAATGCTGAGATTTTGGAAGACGACAACCAAGATCGTATTCCTCTTTTCTCCGTGTTGGTTTAATTAATCATGCCAGGACTTCTTCTAGGAGCCTGAGACATGATTACATCAAACCTTCATCTTAACTTGTTCAATGCAACCTATGCCAGCAGTGAACAGTTAGCCTGTTCTCTGAATCCAGATAAAAAGTATTATTATATAAATATGAATGATTGTATTCTCTTTTTAATCTAAACCTTATTTTAACATACTGCGTCCCATACAGTACAAATTTGGGATTTTATTTTGCAAACAGTCCTAGTAAACTATTTTTGCCAAACCAAGAAAAACTATAAAAGAAGTCCTAATTTCAAGTCAGCAAAACCGTGTTTTAAACAATTTTATGAATAGTTAAAGGGAATGTTAACGTGTTTAAAAGTGACGCTTCAATTAAACTGATAAAACTTAATCTAATAATTATTCATTGATTACCTATAGATAAAGTTTAAAGGAAGAAAGGAAAAAAATAATTAAAAGTCATTAAATACATCGTTGACGATTCCTTTAAGCCCAACCAAAAATTTGACGTATATTTTACACATTAAACTGTTTTTCTTTGAAGAATGTTTCGATACTGTAAAGGAATGATGCTTATTTATAACTTAGAAGCTTATTCTTAAAAACTTAAAGGAACGCGCATTCATTTTTTTTGTCTTAAAAATCTGTGTACATATATTTACCCCCCCCCTTCTCCTTATCATCCATATTCGATCATTAATTTTTCATACCATAATCTTTACAAATAGTATATCCCATATATCTGAATACAATGGAAGACTTTCTATAATGTCGTCTTTACAATTACGGTAAATGCCGCTGAACATTTTTATTACTAAAACATAATCAAAATTTCTGCGTTCTTAGTAAATTGTTTTATAAATTGCGTCATTGATTCATTAAAACTCACATAGTATTAACGGCAATTGATCATAAATATGCATCGAATACGACTTTATAAAAATTCTTTAATTGTATTCTTATTTATTGGATATACTTCAGAAAAAGGTTTTCAATATTCCGATTTCCTTACCACCTGGTGGCGCGCCCTAACGGCTGTGATTATACTGTAGAATTTAATATTGTATGTACATTTTATCGGCAGTACAGTACATGCTTTTTGTAACTAATTGTTGCAATAAGTAGAGAAGAGGGTTACAATCTTAAATATTGATATTGATATTGATATTGATATTGANCTCTCTTATATAAAAATTCCCGCCATAATCTGACTGCTATGTAAACTGTACAGTCTTGAGCCATTAAACAATTTAAATAATATTTTTTATTTACAACAAAGGCGAAAAAAGAAGATTAAAAAAAAGTTCAAAAGAAAAAATGAAAAAAAGAAGAGAATGAAGGGAAACGGGGTTCTTAAATACAAAGGAAGAAGAAAGAAAAAGACTGTTAAAGTTAAAGAAAGTTTAAAGGTAAGATAAATGACATGGAAAGATGTTAAAAACGAATTTCAAAGGAAACACAGGATTGAGAAGAAGAGCTAGAAAAGTCAGAACACGAAGCAATGAAGAGAAATCTAGAAGGAACTTGAAAAAACATGTTAGAAAATACAGGGAAATAGGAAGAATTTTAAAGAGGAAAAAGGGTTTGAAATAACAAAGAATAATCTTTATGAAAAAGGAAGGTTAATTGTTTAAAATAAAAGTAAGAAAATAAGAAGCAAAGAAAAGGATTTTTTTGAAGAAAAGGAAGATTTAAAAGAAAGGATTAGAAAGACAAAGAAAGGAAGAAAGTATAGATTTAAAAAAGAAAAGAAGATTTAAAAGAAAGGTTTAGAAAGACAAAGAAAGGAAGAAAGTATAGATTAAAGAAAGAAAAGAAGATTTAAAAGAAATGATTAGAAAGACAAAGAAAGAAAGAAAGTATAGATTAAGGAAAGAAAAGAAGATTTAAAAGAAAGGTTTAGAAAGACAAAGAAAGGAAGAAAGTATAGATTTAAGAAAGATAAGAAGATTTAAAAGAAAGGTAGAAAGTATAGATTAAAGAAAGGAAAGATTGAAAAGAAAGTATTGAAAAGACCAAGGACAAATAAAAGAAAGGAAGAAATCCAGCCGTCGTCTGATATGTATATTAATTCAATGAAGACGAGTTTTTTTTAAATTCTAGCAATCTTTCAAACTACTATGACACATGTAAGTCAATTAACAGAGCTACTGTTTGTTTACTTATAAATTGCAAAATCATAGCATTATTAATAAAAAGTCGTCTTCATTGTATTGAAATAATCGCCAACCACTGTACTATATCTCAAAACAGATTGCGATATTTTGTTAGAAATTTTCTCATTCAAAACCAGGACTGTTGCCAATTGGCTAACAGTTTATTACTATTGAAGCTATTGATCATATGAAGAATCATACTTTACTCTTTATATTGTGATATTTTATTATTTACTTATAATAAACCCTATAAAGGCTGGGTGTCTGAATCTATGTATAACCGTGGGGGGGGGGGGTCCCTAGAAAAAGACCTTCGAGTATAGGGTTGAAATGCATGATCAAAGCCCCATTTTTCAAGGTCAGCTGAATAAAACATTAAACCTATAACTTTAACAGTTTGGGTGCCAGGGAGTAGTTTGGGTGCCAGGGAGTGTTGAAGAAATGCAAAAACAAATGAGCTCAAAATTGTAATTTTTTTGAGACAGATATCAATTTGTGACACATATTTCCTTATCCATTTTTCAAGGGCTTTTCTAAAATTGGTTTTTAGATCTTAAGCTTTAGTCACAAAATAGTAAATGTATCAAAAAAAAATTGTTAATCTCATGAGCTGTAAAAAAATGCTTTCTTCCTTGTATCCTTTTATGAGATGCAAGTTTGATTCACAATTTCATCGTAAAAGTGTTGCATCCCGATCATTTCAATCTTTCTCTCTGATATCAACAATGTGCAAGTCATGTGCCTTTGCCACAAACTCAAATTTTCGAATCCCTATATCCTTCAAACTTAGATTATTTGATCAGAGCTGAAAACTTTTGAATGGGATATCCTTAATCCTGATCGGATAATTAGTCTGGAGATTAAAAATGAGAGGAGAACAAGCAATATTTAATCTGGAGATTAAGAAAAAGAGTGGATTAAGCATTAATCCCGATATCCACCATTCTAAAGTTTTCAGCTCTGGTAAAAGTCATAGTTTGAAACATTTAAGGTCTACGCCAGTGGGTTGCAAAGATATAGGGATTATAGGTAGTTTGTGGCAAAGACCAAATTCCTTTTTTTCCAATTTTTGCATTTCATAACTTTATTCTAGTTTTGGTTTGAAAATAGCTTTCCCTTTTTAATGGAAAACAGTTGATTTTAGTTTTATTCTGTGTGACGAAAAAAATGGAGAAAAGAAAAACTGCAATGTCCAATGAACATGAAAAACAATAATTGTCCAGAGTAAACAGACTTATTATCTTATCAACATGATTGTTCAAGGTCGTCTTCCAGAGTAATACCATAGTAATAAATATTCAAGATTTTTATTCGAAATCATTTAAAACATTTGAAATAAATATATTAACACAAATAAGATAAATAAATTTTACATTTATGTAATCTAACAAATTTTATAAAATATTTATATTGTTATATATATACAATACATACAATAACTTTATATCTATTTATCTATCACATCAAACTATGGTTTTTTATCTGATTGAATTGAATCTTTTGTACCCCTTATTTTGGGCATTTTCTCTCCCTCCTTTCTTCCTCCTTCCTTCATTCCTTCCTGCCTTCCTACCTTCCTTCCTAGTATCCTCCTTTTTCTTCCCTTCTTTCCCTTTACATCCTTCCTTCTTTCCTGACTTTCTTCATTTATTTCTCCACTCCTTTTCTTCTTTTCTTTTCCTTTATATTTTTTTTCCTTACATTTCTGTCTTTCTTCCTTTAAATACACACTTCTTTCATTGTTTGTTTCTTACTTCCTTTAAATACACACTTCTTTCTTTGTTTCTTTCTTCCTTTAAATACACACTTCTTTCTTTGTTTCTTTCTTCCTTTAAATACACACTTCTTTCTTTCTTCCTTTAAATATACACTTCTTTCTTTGTTTCTTTCTTTCCTTGCTTCTTAAAAAAAAATTTTTTTTCTTCCTTCTCTTTTTCCTCATATTCTTATTCTCCTCTTTTTAAATTATAGATTAAAATGATACCATATTAAGGTATTTGATTCGACTTAAGCTGAAAATAAAATATTTGAAATTGAAAATAAACTATCATTTGAAAAATGACACTCTCCAATGACGTGGGCTGATTTTTACAAGTTTTATAAATTTTTTAAATTCCCATGCTGAGATTTAACATATAATTCTGAGCTTACTCCTGATCTTGAATTAGTATTTTGTAGTCCTGGCTCAAAGCTCTGGTTTGAGCTAGAGTTTCTACTCGAATTGGACAAAAGTATATTTTGAGCTTTAGTGACCTATTCCTTTGGGATCTTTAATTGTTCATTCATGTTCCTTTTTTGATCCATTTGAGGTACTATTTGATTCGTCAAGGACCTGTCGGATCCTTTAAGAGCCTGTTTGATCCTACAAGGATCTGTTTGATTTTTAAGGACATACATGACCCTACAAGGACCTGTTGATCCTTCAAGGACCTGTTTGATCCTTCATGGAACTGTTTGATCGTTCAAGGCCTGTTGATTCTTCAAGGACCTGTTTGATCCTTCAAGGACCTGTTTGATCCTTCAAGGACCTGTTTGATCCTCGAGAAAGTAAGTGATCATCTCTCCCTTTCCCTTGACAGGTATAGTTCCTCTGCAGATGAGTGTATACCCTTTAGGTCGGAGAATATTTGCTATCTCCTGAGTCACCTGAACAATAGTTCAGTTAGAAATATATTAATATGTTAACTAAACCTGAACCTGAACAATGGTTCAGTTACAAATATATTAATATGTTCACTGAACCTGAACCTGAACAATAATTCAGTTACAAATATATTAATATGCTCACTGAACTTGAACCTGAACAATAGTTCAGTTACAAATATATTAATATGTTTACAGAACCTGAATCTGAACAATTGTTCAGTTAGAAATATATTAATATGTTTACCGAACCTGAACCTGAAAAATAGTTCAGTTACAAATTTAATAATATATTTACCGAACCTGAACCTGAAAAATAGTTCAGTTACAAATATATTGATATATTTACCGAACTTGAGCCTGAAAAATATTTTAGTTACTAATAATATATTTACCGAACCTGAACCTGAAAAGTAGTTCAGTTACAAATATATTAATATGTTTACCGAACCTGAACCGGAAAAATAGTTCAGTTACAAATATATTCATAAATTTACCGAACCTGAACCGGAAAAATAGTTCAGTTACAAATTTAGTAATGTATTTACCGAACCTAAACCTGAACAATAGTTCAGTTACAAATATATTAATATGTTTACCGAACCTAAACCTGAAAAATAGTTCAGTTACAAATACATTGATATATTTACCGAACCTGAACCTGAAAAATAGTTTAGTTACAAATTTAATAATATATTTACCGAACCTGAACCTGAAAAATAGTTCAGTTACAAAGGAACTGAGTTTTTGCCACAAAATCCGATTTTCTAATCCCAATACCTTTGCAATCGAATGTCGGAGATCTTTGATATTTTACACTATAAACATTTTTAGATCACATAATGATAGTTTGAAATATTGAAGGTTTACACCATCAGGTTGAGAAAAAAGTGGTATTAGAAAGATCAGAATTTGTGGCAAAAACTCAGTTCCTTTAATAATGTATTTACCGAACCTGAACCTGAAAAATAGTTCAGTTACAAATATATTGATATATTTACCGAACCTGAACCTTAAAAATAGTTCAGTTACAAATTTAATAATGTATTTACCGAACCTGAACCTGAAAAATAGTTCAGTTAGAAATATATTAATATATTTACCGAACCTGAACCTGAACAATAGTTCAGTTAGAAATATATTAATATGTTTAACGAACCTGAACCTGAAAAATAGTTCAGTTACAAATATATTAATATGTTTACCGAACCTGAAACTGAAAAATAGTTCAGTTACAAATCAAAGTCCAGTTTTTTATGTAAAGGGCTAAAAGGAAATCGTTGCAAACTATTATTAATATAAAAAATTTCATTTACTGTAGATACATCCTAATAAAATATTTCGTTACATTACATTATATTAAATCATAATCGGTTTCAAACTGTTGCGACGTACACAAAACGTTAAAAGTAAAAAATGATTACAAACAGTATTTCTTTTATTTCTAAATAAAACAACCTTTTTAATTCCAAGGAAACCCTTAAAAACTTCTTAGTAAATTATAAAAAAACTTCTTAGTAAATTATAAAAAAACTTCTTAGTAAATTATAAAAAAGTTTCTATTCAGTCTTTCAATTTATTTTTGGAGGATGAAAACACTGTAAAATATAAAGGATGCGTAAAATAAAAAATAAAGACTAATAATATTCAAGAAACAGATAAAATGCCCAACATCATTTGGAATGTTCGGATTTAAAAAACCCTTAAAATCTTTGTTAGATCAAGTATGATATAATATCAATGTTTCTAATTTACTGATAACTTTCAATTCTGTTTTCTCAACAAAAGGGACTTGTGCATTTCGAGTGCACGAAAACCTATATGGGAATTATCAAAATTAATCACTTTTAACTCAAGAAAAATGACACTATCTTCCACATTATTGATCAGATATAAAATTTCAAGGATACCGTTGTGAATCGGGCATTGCCATCTTGGCTTGACAGGTAGCTTGAAATTGCACTTACAGTCCCTTTAAACCATGATTTCTAGTATTTTCCTATATCTATTATTTTTCACCTGTATTTTGCCAGTAACACCTGTTGAATCCATCCTGCTTGCAACATTCACCGCGTTCCCCCAAATATCGTATTGAGGTTTCTTGGCTCCGATAACTCCGGCAACGATGGGTCCGATATTGATCCCGATCCTGATCTTGAAGTTGTTGAAGGAGTGCTCGTTCACGTAGTTAAGCTGCTGCCGGATCCGTAGAGCATATTTTGCCATAGCGTCTACATGCATATTGTTTACAGTGCACACTTGATCAGCTAGACCTAAACATTGATCAATTATACATTGTTTACAGTGCACACTTGATCAGCTAGACCTGAACACTGATCAATTATATATTGTTCACAGTGCACACTTGATCAGCTAGACCTACACATTGACCAATAATATATTGTTTACAGTGCACACTTGATCAGCTAGACCTACACATTGACCAATAATATATTGTTTACAGTGCACACTTGATCAGCTAGACCTACACATTGACCAATAATATATTGTTTACAGTGCACACTTGATCAGCTAGACCTACACATTGATCAATAATATATTGTTTACAGTGCACACTTGATCAGCTAGACCTACACATTGATCAATTATATATTGTTTACAGTGCACACTTGATCAGCTAGACCTAAACATTGATCAATTATATATTGTTTAGTGCACGCTTGATCAGCTAGACCTAAACATTGATCAATTATATATTGTTTAGTGCACGCTTGATCAGCTAGACCTAAACATTGATCAATAATATATTGTTTAGTGCACGCTTGATCAGCTAGACCTACACATTGATCAATTATATATTGTTTACAGTGCACACTTGATCAGCTAGACCTACACATTGATCAATTATATATTGTTTACAGTTCACACTTGATCAGCCAGATCTACACATTGATCAATTATATTTTTGAGTTACTAATTTACAACTGTCACAAAGTTAGTTTTATTCAGTAAATGAAGACGACCTATTCAGTAAATGAAGACGACTTGAAATTACCTGACGCGGCCATATAAGTTGCTCCGGTGGATTTTATCTTCTCAATGCATTTAAACGCTTCCTCCTCCAGGATCTCGTCGAAGTCAGCGATGATCTCGTTGAGGAGCCTGAGGCACTCCACCCCCTCGTTGTTAGACTCAAGCTCAACATAGAACTCGGAGAAGTTTGGAATAGAAGCGAAGAGAATGCAGCCACTGTCACATTGCTCGTGGTATAACTCCTACAATTAAACAATTAAAGTGAATCTTCAGAAAAATGAAAAAGGGTGAAAAGTTGTCAATCGATTGTGTTTTCCATGTTGAGCGCCAGGTTGAGGTTCTCTCCACATGACGCTGTCGGACACTGTGCCACTTGCTTGTGAGGCTGTGAAGTTGCAGCCAGAGAATAAAAAGACACATGATTGAAATATAAATAGTATAATTTGATTTATTATCAAACTATGACATGAATTCTTTTTTCTTCTAAGAAATATCGTGATCGATAAAATGCATTTCCTATCTCTCAGGAAAAAGCTTAAAATCTAAAAATGAGAGTAAGTCGGGATGTAAAGGGGGACCAGGGGGGGGGTTATGTATATCTTCTTGAAGTGTCTGTGAAACGTGATTTCAACTAACCGTCCATGTTGCATGTCATATTTACAACATGAGCAGTGCCATTCAGAATTTTTCTAAGAAATAATACAAAAGTTATCACAGTTATATAAAAATTGGTTACGTGTGAATCTTTTATAACAGTCACTTGCGGAATCTTCCTAATTTTAAATCCGACTATTGGCTGAAGTGTAACGTTGTGTACCAAGTATGTAACGTTTTATATTTCAGGTTATTAGAATAAACGTAACCTTCCCGTATATATCGAAGTACAATTTAAATATGTTGTAGCTTCTCTAGTTGTGAGATTAAGTACAAGTAGGAGAAAAGCAAATCCATTTAGATTTGTACTAAAAATTCAAAAAATATTTTTTCTTATCAAAAGCTCTTTAGATCCTTCAGTAAGAGTACAGTCCTGTTTGAAAACATAAGATTTCAAAATAATATGAGATTTTCTTTAATTTGACGCGGTATTCTACAGTGATCCAACTGTTCCAGATAAAAAATATGCAGAAGATGGAACACCAGCGGCCGGATTTAAAGAATTTGAATCGCTGCTTAGATTTGAGACCCGGCTCAAATATTGTTGGTTTGTATTCAATGTTTCAAGACTTAAGCCGGCGCTCAATTGAAACCGGGTTTTGAAGAATTTGAGACGCGGCTTTAATTCATTAAATTCGGACTCTGATCAAAAGTAGATAAAAAAATTGTCACAAGAAAAATGAAAATAAATATAGATTGTATTGTCTTATTCGGTACTAGCTGAAGAGACCAGCGTTGCCCGTGGAAGAAAAATGAAAAAAAATATTTAGAAAAATATTTTGAGCCAATAACACCCCCGGCTACCCACGAGTGTCCACAAAAAATTTCAGCATAGGACTATTTTGGAGGCTGGTCTATATATAAATAATGATACAGAGAATTACCAAGAATATCTTGCGATTTTTGTTATACTTCTTTACTTTACAGGGTGAATTAATAAACATGGGAATTCAAGGAAGATTTAAAAATCTTATTTTTATTTCCTAAAACGAAAAGTTTAACCGAGGAAGAAATAAATTACCAAAAATATTTTTCAAAAGAAATAGATCAAGTTTACTTTTAACATACTTTAATTTTCTAATCATAAATATCTTTACATCCTGATGTCGTAGACCTCTGATATTTCAAACTATGAGTTTCGCTAGATCAAATAGTCAGTTTCAAATAAGAGAATTTAGAGCAGATATGAAAATTGTCTCTTATTTCAGCTTAACCCTGGAAGAAATGTTTTAACAAAATATTTTTTCAAAAGAAATAAATTAAGATTACTTTACTGTCATTTTCTATATCTTATTCATCCGGATTTCGTAGACCTTTTATATTTTAAACTATGAAAGTGAGAGTTTGAGGTAAGAAAGTGAGAGTTTGAGATAAGAAAGTGAGAGTTTGAGACTAAAAAGTGAGAGTTTGAGATAAGAAAGTGAGAGTTTGAGATAAGAAAGTGAGAGTTTGAGGTAAGAAAGTGAGAGTTTGAGATAAGAAAGTAAGAGTTTGAGATAAGACAGTGAGAGTTTGAGATAAGAAAGTAAGAGTTTGAGATAAGAAAGTAAGAGTTTGAGATAAGAAAGTGAGAGCTTGAGATAAGAAAGTGAGAGTTTGAGATAAGACAGTCAGAGTTTGAGATAAGAAAGTGAGAGTTTGAGATAAGAAAGTGAGAGTTTGAGATAAAACAGTGTTGAGTTCCCTAGAACATTTTATTGGATGCCATCATATGAGTAAAAAAGAAATTGAAATAAAGTTGGAAACAGGTTTAAAACAAATATAGTTAAAATGTCAATATGTTGGTTGAGCAAATGTTGTTCATAAATTCAGTATTCTAAAAAATTCCCTAAAGAGCATAATTGTACTTACATCATTGTTTTTGTCTCCGGACATAAAGAATTCAGCAACATGTACAGGTAGAATATTAGAGAGCAGCTTCTTGTTGTACGCCTGAATACATGAATCTAGTTTCTTGATGCACGCCTGTACATAATTATATAGTTTTTTGTTGTAGGCGTGTACATAAATATAGCTTCTGGTTGTATGCGTGTACAAAAATATAGTTTTTTGGTGTAGGCGTGTACATAAATATAGTTTCTTGATGTACCCCTGTAAATAGATATAGTTTCTTGTTGTATCCTGTACATAAATATAGTTTCTTGATGTATCCCTGTACATAGATATAGTTCTTGATGTACGCTTATACAAAATATTGTTTCTTGATGTATCCAGTACATAAAAATAGTTTCTTGATGTAGGCCTTTACATAAAAATATAGCTTCTAAATGTAGGCCTGTACATAAATATAGTTTCTTGATGTATCCTGTATATTAATATAGTTTCTTGATGTACACATGCATATAAATATAGTTTCTTGATGTACCCCTGTACATAAATATAGTTTCTTGTTGTGCACCTGTAAATAAATATAGTTTCTTGATGTACACATGCAAATAAACATAGTTTCTTGATGTACCCCTGTACATACATATAGCTTCTTCATGTACTCCTGTGATAAATATAGTTTCTTCATGTATCCTGTACATAAATATAGTTTCTTAATGTAGGCCTGTACATAAAAATATGCTCTCTTAATGTATCCTGTACATTAATATAGTTTCTTGATGTACACATGCACATACAAATATAGTCTAATGACGACTTGTAACTTTTCAAACATTACGACCATAGGGTTTAATTTGGATTGCTGCCTTTTGCACAGTTTTATTGGTTAATTTAAGAATTAGGGAAAAAAAGAAAAGCAAGTTAAAATATGCGGGGAAATATATACATAATCTTATATGTGTGTTAACTAAAGTCGCCGTCGTATATATCAATACAATGAAAACTACTTTATATTTCTAGTTTGATTTCTATCCAGCAATTAGCAGAAACATTGAAACATTTATTAAAAGAGAAGTTGTCAAATAACAGATTTGTTTACTTGTAAACTTGTAATTTCAATAATGCTTGTTAGGGATCAAAGCATGATTTATTAAAACACGTCTTAATTGTATTGATATAATCGTCGACCACTGTATGTAAACATTTTTCAAGCTAGATTTTTATTAAATATAGGATTTAAGGGTACCGTTGTGAATGCCTCTCTTTAAATAAAATGAAATTTGAAATAAAAAACATTCCTTTTAAAACCCTTCATTCTAAACTCTGGTCTCTGTATACAGTACTACAGGAAGAGTTAAAAGTTTATGTTCTCCATGTATAGTTAAATACTAAGAGCGGAACGTGTTGTGGTATTAAGGTTGGTATACCTGACATAATTAACTCAAAACTTTACAAACTGGATTCATATTCATTATTCATTATTCATTATATAAATAATATAAGAATTCGAATTACAAAACTAGTAATTCGAATATTTTGTCTTTTAAACAAATTAAAATATTTTTTAATTAAAAAAAATTTATATTCATTAATATTCGGAGAACATTCTTATTTGAAGGAATATTAATATATTATACTTGTAATGGGTTTCCAATGTTATTCATTTGGATAAACAATACTTTTGCAAGAGAGGATTCTAGTCTTAGTTTCACTCATAATAAATAGTTTCAACTATTTAAAGAATCAGATAACAAAAACATAGCGGATATCAAAATGTTTTGAAAATTAAGCAACGAGAAATTTCCACGTTATAACAATTTTTCTTATTACTAAAAATTTACGATTTTTTTAAAGAATAAACAGTATTTCTGAAACTGCGCACTTTTCCTTTAAAAACAAAGTTTTACCTGTAAATGTTCCATTTCCTCCTTCTCCTCAGTAGCTTGTAATTTCCACAGGAAATCAAGTCTAAACAAATATTATGGTTTACAGGGAGTAATATCATGGTTACCAGGGAGTAATATCAGGGTTACCAGAGAGTAATATCATGGTTACCAGGGAGTAATAATCGTGGTTACTAGGGAGTAACATCATGGTTACCAGGGAGTAATATCATGGTTACCAGGGAGAAATTTCATGGTTGCCAGGGAGCAACATCATGGTTACCAGGGAGTAACATCAGATATCAGGGTAACTAGGGAGCAACAAATATCATGGTAACTAGGAAGCAACAAATATCAGGGTTACCAGGGAGTAACATATATCACGGTTACAAGGGAGCAACAGATATTATGGCTACCAGGGAGCAACAAATATCATGGTTACCAGGGAGCAACAAATATCATGGTTACCAGGAAGTAATATCATGGTAACCAGGGAGCAACAAATATCATGGTTACCAGGGAGCAACAAATATCTGGATTACCAGGGAGCAACAAATAGCATGGTTACCAGGGAGCAACAAATATCAGGATTACCAGGTAGCAACAAATAGCATGGTTACCAGGGAGCAACATATATCAGGATTACCAGGGAGCAACAAATAGCATGGTTACCAGGGAGCAACAAATATCAGGATTACAATGGGAGCAACAAATATCATAGTTACCAGGGAGCAACAAATATCATGGTTACCAGGGAGTAAAATCATGGTTACAAGGGAGCAATAAATATCATGGTTAACAGGGAGTTATATCATGGTTACAAGGGAGCAACACATATCATGGTTACCAGGGAGCATTCATGATCATAAAAAGCTTTTGAGGGTACCACGCCGTTGTGAATCAGACATGCCAGGCTATTAATGTAGGCAGTCTTAAAGGGAGTGTTCGCGAAAAATGAAAGGGGGTATAGGCTTAATGCGATAAAAAAGCGCTTTTGATCGCCACTAATCTTACTTCTATCTGTTAAGGAAGTCCTGATTATCGTAAAGGTCTGGGAATGAGAGGAACAGGAAACACAGATAGGTAACTGAGAGAGCAGTCAGAACAACCATCTTCATAGCACTAAATATAAAAACTTTAAAATAACCTTTTAAACGGCTGTACAGACGAATTCTTAAGTAGCATGAGTCGATTTACAACTGTTCTGATTAAAGTAAACAAAATGATCCTTCTGATAACTTTGTTTTATATTTCAAAAAAACTTATAATTTACTAGTCTAGTCTTAATCTAAGAAAATTAAATTTTCATTTAAAGAGACAGACCGGCTATGTAAGGTAGTAAAACTGAGTATGCAGTATTGTGGACAAATTCTTTAGGATTCATTTGAGACATATAAAACGTTTCCACGATGTATAATTACTGAGTTTGAGCGTTAAGTCTACGTTCAAAATCATGAATTTGGGTGGGTACGTTTTCAGAATCTTTTTTTTATTATAAATTATTAAATAACGACGACGAAAAATATAGTTCAAATTGCATCACAATAGTAGAAATTTAGGATTTCTAAAAGTCAGATCTACACTCTACACAGTCCCTGTACATAAAATAAAAAAATGATATTATTTATCATGTTCTAGAGATTGATATAAGTACCATATTTTGTAGAATTTACTAAATAATCTTCTTTCTTGAGGACTGACTAGGAATATTATTAGAACTTGAAGTGATTTCATATTTATCAATAAGTATTTAATATTTTTCTAAAAAGGAATATGATATCTATATAATAAAACAAGAAATTCATATATATATATATGTCACCAATAGCCGGCAAAATGGCTGGATCGAATGGGCTGAAATTTTTTGTGGAAACTCATGAGTAGCCAGGGAGTGTTTTAGGCTAAAAAATTCGATTTAAAAAAAAAGGTTTTTAAATCTTTTTTTTTCTACGGGCAACGCTGGTCCTTTAATCTTTTATATTATATAATATGTAATATATAAAATAAAACCTGTTGAATAAAACGTGACGAGCAAAGCCTGATCTGCAGAAGTAATTTCAAATGTAGAGTGGTATGTTCGTTTTAAACGTTGTCCTAACAAGGATGACGGTGTTATTTCTTATTTTCTCGCTGAAAATTGAGTTCGTTCGGATATCATGTGCCATCAATCGTAGTGTAAAGTGTACTAAATGTTCAGTTTTTAACTGTACATATCACTGTAAAAATAAAGGGTCAATTAACAATCGGACTTGCCACTCTAACAATGTAGTGTCATTTAAAATTACTTGTAAAGTTCTCTTTGTAAAGATTATAGAGCTTATATGTATAAACCTACCAGCAGTCTCTGGCTGGGAAGTAATAAACCTAACATTGTAGGTTTATTATTAGATATATTGAATATATGATGTGTGGGGTACAGAATAAAACCTTGATTAGCATCTTCAAACTGATTCAATACACAAGTTTTATATGATATGTGTTTTATGCAGAATAAAACCTTGATTAGCATCTTCATACGGAATCAATACACAATTTTCATATGATATGTGTTTATGCAGAATAAAACCTTGATTAGCATCTTCATACTGATTCAATACACAATTTTTTATATGATATGTGTTTTATGCTGAATAAAACCTTGATTAGCATCTTCATACTGATTCAATACACAATTTTTATATGATATGTGTTTTCTTTTTTTAAGGTTAAAAACGGCTAACAAAAAAATTCACGATTTTTTTCTTCTCAAAATTAAAAAAGTCTAAGCAGCTTTTTGTTTGAATAAACTTGAAGTGTATCTTTATCAAATTCCCTAAAATTATCTTCGGTTGGTAACCATGTGTAAATTTTAGGTTTATGGATTTATTTGCACGGTTTTATCATTCTAAAATAGTAAGGAGTTGAAGGTTGAAAATGGTTTAGCTTCCCCCCCCCCATTGACAAGTTTCTGTATAAGTTTACGTCCAATATTGGCTCCATACTTTTTCTTATACTGACATAATCCATATAGATTGTTTTTATGTCTGGTAAAAAAACAAGTTTGGAAAAATATGAATTTGTTGAAACACTAACACTAGAAGCCTAGGTGCCAAGCATCTCGGATTTCTAATTTAATTCTAATTTTTATCCTGAAGCCTAGAGGGAGAATAGTGATTGATTAATTGAAGTAAGGGATATCAGTGAAGATATAATAATATAAAATCAGTATTCTCTTAGGCAGGATTTTCTCAAGATTATTTTTAAACTGAGACTCAGGATTCAGGATTCAGGATTCAAGATTCAGGATTCAGGGTTCAGGATTCAGGATTCAGAATTCAGGATTCAGAATTCAGAATTCAGGGTTCAGGATTCAGGATTCAGGATTCAGGATTCAGGATTCAGGATTCAGGATTCAGGATTCAGGTTTCAGGTTTCAGGATTCAAGATTCAGGATTCAAGATTCAGGATTCAGGATTCAGGATTCAGGATTCAGGAATCAAGATTCAGGATTCAGGATTCAGGATTCAGGATGTAGGATTCAGGATTTAGGATTCAAGATTTAGGATTCAGGATTCAGGATTCAGGATTCAGGATTCAGAATTCAGAATTCAGAATTCAGAATTCAAGATTCAGGACTCAGGATTCAGGATTCAGGATTCAGGATTCAGAATTCAGAATTCAGAATTCAGAATTCAGTATTCAGTTGATGCCTTATTTTCATAACTGCCAGGATCTCTGTAATATATGTATAATACATACCAGACATCTAACGTTGATCCAACGATACTTAAAAACTAATATCTTCATAGATTATAGATTCATCTAGTATACAGGGTTTACACACAACATATAAAAAATGAGATTTCAGAGATGACTGTAAGGAATTCATCTAGTCTCTTTTCACCCTGGTATCCTGCAGATGCACACTTCTATCATTTCCAGATCATAAAATTATACTTTTTAAAAACTTAATCAGGTAGAAAAGTCCAAATTCAACCTTCATATCATCATATTTTAAGAGTTTCAGGTCATCATTAAAGTTTCATCCTTTGTGAGTAACCCTGTATACGAGTCTTTTGGTTACAAATGTGTAAAGACTAAGAAATATTATCTCAATATCCATATAAATAGATATCTAAACCATAGAATATATATTTTATGTATCACAATTTATCATAATCTGGGAAAAGGGACAGTTCCTCATATTAGCTAGATCTATTAATATTTCTCTGTTCAGCAAAAGAGTACGCAACTATGTGAACTATACGGATATACTGAGGACTCACTAAATATGAAGCACGAAAGTAAAAATACTAGTTATCATGACACACAATGAGGACTTACAATGAGGACACACAATGAGGACACACAATGAGGACACACAATGAGGACTTACAATGAGGACACACAATGAGGACACACAATGAGGACACACAATGAGGACACACAATGAGGACACAAAATGAGGACACAAAATGAGGACGCACAATGAGGACACAATGACAACGCACAATGATGACGCACAATGAGGACACACAATGAGGACACACAATCTGGACACACAATAAGGAAGCACAATGAGGACACACAATGAAAACACAAAATGAGGTTGCATAATGAGAACACCAATAAGGACGCAAAAAGAGGACGCACAATGAGGACGCACAATTAGGACACACAATGAGGACACCCAATGAGGACACACAATAATCACTCACGATAAGGACGCACAATAAGGATGCAGAATAAGGACTCACAATAAGGACGCACAATAAGGACACACAATGAAAACGTACAATGTGGACAAACAATGATTGTAATTTCCTTGTACCCTTCCTTGTTCTCCTTCTAATAATCTTCATGTACCTGATAATCATCTGGAACACAGCGCATGAGATAAGAACCAGTAGCATAGAGTACATCATGTACTAAATAATAGAGAGTAAATAACTTATTTTATAATTGATATATAAATATAATTTGAAAGTAAGCTATACAGTTAGGAATTCAACGATAAATCCAGGGGTCAGGTTTTAAAAAAATTAAAGAAATGCTGCGTAGATAAATGACGATTATTACTTATTATCCTTCTTTAATGGTACTCTTGATTAAAGTCTGAAGTCTAACCTCAGGGAAATGTGTAGAGTACTGCATACCACAAGCTTCTCTAGTTGTAGATTCATCTCCGTATTCTATTCCTAGATTCTCTAGAATATTCTTCAGGTAGGTAGAGTTTCTAGTTTCACACAGCTCCAGGGTCAGGTTAGACTTGTTGTACCTGGAGAACACAAGGATCAGGTTAGATGATTTACTGGAGTATAGGGATTGTGTTTCATGATATATTTTGGAGTATAGGGATCAGGTTAGATGAAATACTGGAGTATATAGGGATCAGGTTAGATGATATACTGGAGTATAGAGATCAGGATAGATGGTATACTGTAGTACAAGGATTAGGTTAGATGATAAACTGGAGTACAAGGATTGGGTTACATGGTAAACTGGAGTACAAGGATTAGGTTAGATGAAATACTGGAGTATATAGGGATCAGGTTAGATGGTCTACTGGAGTAAAGGGATCAGGTTAGATGATATGCTGGAGTATAGGGATCAGGTTAGATGGTCTACTGGAGTATAGGGATCAGGTTAGATGGTATACTGGAGTATAGGGATCAGGTTAGATGGTCTACTGGAGTATAGGGATCAGGTTAGATGGTCTACTGGAGTATAGGGATCAGGTTAGATGGTATACTGGAGTATAGAGATCAGGTTAGATGATATACTGGAGTATAGGGATCAGGTTTCATGAAATATTTTGGAGTATAGGGATCAGGATAGATGATAAACTGGAGTACACGGATCAGGTTAGAGGGTATACTGGAGTATAGGGATCAGGTTAGATGATCTACTGGACTATAGGGATCAGGTTAGATGGTATACTGGACTATAGGGATCAGGTTAGATACATGTATTTAGTGTTTAGGGTTTACGTGATATATTTCAACTATATGAGTCAGGCGTAAGAGACAGAAGGATATAGAAGTTAGATTATACGTGTTTTATCGTCCAATAGAAATTGCACAAGTATTAAAATAGTTGGAAACTTTTAACAACCCAAATTTAGCTTACTAGAAGAAATGTAACCTAGCTTTAATCCCCCTTTTCCTAAACTCCCCCTCCCCCCCCCCAACACTTTCCCTTTTAACCCTTCTTTTTGTCCATCTCCCTTCGTTACGCACTCTACATCTCTCCCTTCCATAGTCATTCTTTCCCCCTTTCCCCATCTCTACTCTCCTTAGTCCCCTTCCCTTCCAACACCCCCCCCTTCCAAATTTCTCCCTCCTACTTTACTTTTTCCATTCCTTACCCTACTTCCCACTTCCCCTTCCTTCCCAATATCCACTGCCAATACTTCCTAATTCTTTCTCCCTTCCCCTTTCTTCTGTATTCCCCTGTTCCATTACCACAATTAAGTTATTATTGCTGGAAAATAATGATGTCAGGTTTAAGAAGAAAAACTAGGGATCTAAACCTATATATCATGATATCAGTGAGAAATAAGAAGGGATCATAGACAGGAGATAATATACAAGTAATATCTTCATAAATTCAAAACTATTGAGGATTTACAAAACAAAAAATATATTTATTTTATGTTTTCTAACTTACTTTTTCTAAATAAAAGTTTTTATGTTTTACAATTATGCTCAACCAATGGAGATTTTAGAGAATAATTTTGGTATTTTTGTCATCAACCATCAACTGCAAGTATTTTAATTAAATGTATTTGATCAGTCAAATTAAACAGAATATTTTAAATAGTTTTATTATTTTCAACATATTTCAAAAAGAGTTTTACAGAGTTTCAATAGTTAATCGAGTTGTATTGTAAATTTCTACTCTATTTTTTTCTACCCCCCCCCCCGGATTCGTTCCTATGCCCCCCCTAGTTTTACCTCTCGTCCAAACAGTCATCTATTCGATCAGTATCCAGGTCCAACTAGAAAAAATATGAATTTAAATTCATCAACTATCTTTAATAACAAAAAAAGGTTAAAAAATACAAATTTTGAAAAAATGAATTATATATCCGATCTTTGAATAAAAAAGTCAATAAAATCTATAAAAAATCATGTGATTAGAATTGTTATCTATGAAATTCCTTTTAATAAACGCTCCTACATCTCAATCACTACATTACTTTCATTTTGACCGAAGATTTATAAAAATCCGCAACATAATTAAACACTCTCTACAGACCAATACAATAGTAATAATATCCTACTGTAGCTTTGCTTTCTAACCAGCTTTATACAGGGTTACATACAAACGATGAGACTTCAGAGACGATTGTACAGAATTTATATTTGCTGTTTCCTTATATTCATGATTCTCTGCAACTGTAAACTTGTGTCTTTCTTTGCAAAATCAATTAATAACTCATTTAAAGACCATAGATAAGGCAGAAGACTTAATTTATAGTTGGAATCATATTAAACAAGTTTCAAGTCGTCTTCACAGTCTCATTCTTTGTGGATAACTCTGTACATTTACAGCACAGAAATACAAAATAAGTTTAAAAAGAAGAAAAACTATGTTTACCGTGGGTATGATAACACAAGCAAACAGTGCTGCAACGTTGATGATCCCTAGCAGTTGAACCAAGATCCGGGAGGATGAGAAAAAGTTACAAAATCTGAAAATATTAGATTTTTACTACAATGGCAATCGATTATATCAATATAATGAAGACGGCTTTCGATTTCAATTTTGATTTATATCAAGCCTTTAAACAGCATGGATACACACTTGTACACTTGTAATTCGAAAAAAGCTTGCTAACAAAAAAACTTAAAAAGATAAGTCGTCTTTATTATATTGAAATAAACGGCGACCACCGTATGACGTTTGAGAAATTATAATATAGTTCATTTAAAAAATTTAATTATACATTGATATTTACATTATTTACATTTATATTTACATTATATGATATTTCAGGAAAGCATCTTAAAAAAATAAAAAAATAAAAAAAAAATAACGGAGAGCAGGTTTATTTTAGGAGATCGTTTTCATTCATGATTTGTTTTCAGAATTGGAAAATTAAAATAAGATTAGTATAATTTTCCATAAAAATATTTAGCCCATTATAGCAACCGCATTTTGCAACGTTTTATTAATATATTGAATTCAATAAATGTAACCAACATCTTTTTAAGCAAAATAAAATCGCATAAAAACTATTTTTTTCCGAAAAACATCAATATAGAAAAATAAGATTCTAAAAATTTTACTTTTACTCCGGCTCCTAAATAAAATAAAAATGTATAAAACCTGGAGATAAGTTTGGGGGCTGAAGTCCACTTGTCAACAATAATCACTAGAATTCATTCAATTTAATCTAAACCCAGATCTAATCCGAACATTGACATTTTTAAATCAAATTTGAAAGGAAGACAATTGAATTTATTTAAGGATGATTGCATGATTTGTTGATTGATTATTAAATTGATGAATTCCTGCAGTTACAAGAACAATGATTGTTCCAGAGATACTGAAAACTTTTGTTCTGTTATCCGTCCTAAACAAGAATAATTATGTATAGAACTTATATGTCCTAAGCAAGAATTATGTATAGAACATATCCGTCCTAAACAAGAATTATGTATAGAACTAATCTGTAATAAACAAGAATTATGTATAGACTTATCTGTCATAAACAAGAATTATGTATAGAACTTATCCGTCCTAAACAAGAATTATTTATAGAACTTATCTGTCATAAACAAGAATTATGTATAGAACTTATCCGTCCTAAACAAGAATTATATATAGAACTTTATCCGTCCTAAACAAGAATTATGTATAGAACTTATCCGTCCTAAACTGACTCTCCAGTGGGAGGCTGCGTGTTAAACAGCCCCTGGCTATCAATGCCTCCCCGTCTCAAGTTTATAAATATGTTTAAAATATGATATTTTCGATGTTTTTGGCTTGGGAAAAATATATATATTTGATTTGATTTGATTTGATTTGATAAACAAGAATTATGTATAGAACTAATCCGTCCTAAACAAGAATTATGTACAGAACTTATCCGTCCTAAACAAGCATTATGTATAGAACTTATCCGCCCTAAACAAGAATTATGTACAGAACTAATCCGTCCTAAACAAGAATTATGTATAGAACTTATCTGTCCTAAACAAGAATTATGTATAGAACTTATCCATCCTAAACAAGAATTATGTATAGAATATAGAACTTATCCGTCCTAAACAAGAATTATGTATAGAACTTATCTGTCCTAAACGAGAATTCTGTTTAGAACTTGTATGCCCTAGCTAAGATGTAACCAGTGTGAGGTTAGTAGTTCGGAATAAGGATAATTCCATTGATGTAACCCCCTTAGTCCTCATACTCACCCGAAGCTAAGCTCGGATTACAAGTAGGCCGGCCTACAAGCATGACAGCTTATTAGCTCTTTTGAATATAGCTATAGTTTGGACATAAAGTAGGGCGGATGATATATTGTATTCAGATTCTGTCCGTTAAAAGATGCCATCCAGAAATCATGCTTTCAACGAACTTCCAGCCGCCGTTAAACTCACTATTTTATACTCAGGCCTATTCAGGCCACCAGGCTTTGAACACGTGGAAGCGAAAAATAAGGTTTGCGAAGCTAAACTCGAAATATGATTAGTCGTGGCGAAGAATTAAAACGAGGAGGTTTAAACCGTAATATGAGGCGGAAGAAAGGCGGAGAGTCTGCCAAAAAGGTCTGGCTTTATTTAACTCATTAGTCTCAAACATTATTTGTTCTTTTTTATAATGTAAATATATTTTTCCTATACTCTGTAGACTTATTCACATCAGTTTAAGGCTTTACATTTTCTTTATTTTCGACCTCTTTTAAATGGTAACAGTACAAGAATTATGTAAAGAACGTATCCGTCCCAAATATATAAGAATTATGTAAAGAACGTATCCGTCCCAAACATATAAGAATTATGTAAAGAACGTATCCATCCCAAATATACAAGAATTATGTAAAGAACGTATCCGTCCCAAATATATAAGAATTATGTAAAGAACGTATCCGTCCCAAATATATATGAATTATGTAAAGAACGTATCCGACCCAAATATATAAGAATTATGTAAAGAACGTATCCGACCCAAATATATAAGAATTATGTAAAGAACGTATCCGTCCCAAATATATAAGAACTAGAAATTCAAGCCGCTTCGCGCCCTTCTTTCTAGCCTTAGAGGGCGCTTCGTACCCATCTCCTAAATTAATTGTGAACATGTTCTCTTTGTGTACATCGTAAAACAAAACAAAAATAATTCGCGGATTTTCACAAAAAATTTCGCGGATTTTCAAAATTTTAAAAAATTTAATGACGATCGAATTTTGATGGAGACAAATATTTGAAATTTTGATGATTCATAAACCTTAACTGGAGTCCCTAGATG